TTTTTTTTTTTTACTTTTTTAAAAATTTTATTATTTTTGTGTGTGTGTACCGTCAAATCAGATCTGACTGGTACAGGAGGAGATTGTCCCTCCTTCCCCGGCAGAGCATCTGGTACAAACACATTTTTTAATGACTAAAAAAAGTCTGGTAAAAGGCCATAGTACTCATGACTACTAAAAATTTTACTTGTATATTTTTAGATTGTGTCACTTTATGCCAGTCCAACCTACTACTATGTAAAACGTGTATTAATGTTTCTTTAATTAAGCACTTTCTAAATCACCTTAGTAGATGTCATTTGCATAAGAGTATATAGTCCCACCACATTCTATCTTGCTATAGCCTTGAAGAAGAAACTTAACGTCTTGCATCAGCTTTGATAATCTCTCAGATTTGGAGGTAATAGTAACAGCTTCTTTACACAGCTGCTATGAGGATAATTAAATCATCTAGCAAAATGATCTAGTCAGCAACACTGAATGAATGAAAACCAAACTTCTCTGTAAACTTTTGTTAAAATCACAATTTAAAAAGAAAAAAAGAGCTTGTCAGGAACTCTGACAACATCTCCTTTCTCCTATACCATGTATTCTTAATCACAGCATACTAAAGGAAAATCAGTGTTAACACTCTGAATTACTCTTTAAGAATAAACAAGATATTCAAAATACTACTTTTAAAAATTTGGAAAGAACATAAATTTTTAAAAGCCAATTGCTTACCTATAATACATAATCAAATTCCAATTTTACAAAAATCTAAAACTATAATAAAGAGTGAAATATATACTTTTTAAAGGCATCCATTTTTTCAAAAACACTATTTATGTCACAACCTAAACTACTCCGGTAAATTGAGAGTTAAAGGGCAAAGAAGTGTGATAAAAATACTATTTTTCAGAATTTTAGCATTTAAAATTCTTCGTGTTTTAACTTCCATATGCTGAAGCATTAAAATGGAAGATACGGTTAGAACTAAAATTAAGTACTTAAGAATTACATAAAAACTTTAGGGAGTATTAAAGTAAAACATCAAATCAAGACTACATTACCTGTATATGTTTGGATCCAAAAGCAAGGCAGTATCTTTGGGTAGCTTTGATAAATGAACTACTTTAGTTTTTAATTGATGTCGTTCACTTTCATTCACCCATACATCAGGTAAACTATGAATTTAAAAAAGCAAGTCATTTCTTCATCTCCAAAAAAATGTCAAATTCATTTTTATAAATGAAAGCAAATAGGTGGATTACTACAGTTTGTGAACAATGAACTAAAAAAAACAAAACCCAAAACTGATTCATGAAGAAGAGAAAGGGATCAAATATTCCTTTTTTAAAACAATGATTAAGACATTTAGTATTAGTTTCCCATTCTATTAATATTTCACATGTAAAATTACGATGGTTACTTTAACCCCTAGTATCAATAAAATAATGTAATTGTACAGATTTAGTCTTTATGTCTTCACATTTCCCAGGCTTTTCTGCAAGCCTGATTGTGCCACCTAGACTGGTAAGTTTCACAAAAGTCAAGGTATGCCTAAATGGTATAAAGTGTACTACCAACCAAGAAGTAGAAGAATTATATTTTAGATATTAATATAGAAAATAATTAAATTTTGGGTTGCAAAAACCGTATCAAACTTAGAAATAACATCAGAAAACATGAGCTCACTGAAAAAATTTCTATTACGTGTGACTTGATGGAAACTTAGTAAGTTTTTTATTAAGAAATCAGAAGCATATACTTAGATATCATAAGTAATTATAATTAGTATTATAGAACATTATTTCAATGAATGATATCCACTATTTATAAATGTTCATGCATATAAAACACAGTAAAAAGATAGCATAAACTAATGAATAAAATAAAAGTTCACAAAATTAAATTACAGGTAAAAAAGCAAGCAAAATCAAACTTCATTATGGGGGGGGGGAATCCATACTGTGACAATTCTCAATTCAGAGATCTCTAATACTGTAGGAAAATGCAATCAATTTAATCAATTTCCAAACTATGATACAAATACACTGTAAGCCAGTATTTTTTTTTTAAAAAAGTATACTTATAAGCTTATTATAAAAAGAGTTCATACAAATCCGTTTTAAACAGATAAACATCTACTGGGGGGGAAAACCAAATACAGTGTAGGGACAATTAAATTCTATTTTAAAAATCACCTTACTTGTAATAGAAACGCGAAATTTGAGAGAATTATAAGAGCGAGAGTTGGCGCCAGCTTTGAATTTTGAAGTTGGTGAGAAGACCTCGAAGGCGCAGTGGAGAGAGGGAGTGGTTTTGGACATAGGACACACCTCTGCACCTTTGACCTGTGCCCAAGAGGTACCAAGGCTCCGCCCCCAAGTTTGCACACCCCACCCCCAGCTTTGAATTTTTAATTTAAAAAAACACAGACCAACTTATAGCATTTATCAGCCTCCCCTGAAAAAGTCTAACACTGAAGATTTAGTTTCTACAAACTACTGTCTGACCTAACCACGTTGGTCTCGCTAACTCAAGCAAGTTCCTGGGCATCTCATAAAGCAGCAGTGACATCAAACCAAGAACCAGCTATCACCTCAGTTTTTTTGTGGTTTTTTTTTTTTTTTTTTTCAAAAACTCGTCCACTTCAATGTCTCGAAAGAAGCAAGGTACCTCACTCACCACATAAGCCCAAAACAAGATAGGTATCTTCCCCCAAAAATGACAATGTAGCAATGGATTTCACAAAGCCAGAAAGTGTGATATAATTTTCTGACACAGATTTTAAAAATAAAAAAATTTTAATATTTCCAATGGATGAAAAACAAACTTGAAGAATTACAGGACACTACAGTCAAAAATCCCGGGCTGTGCAGAGGGGAAACAGAGAAATCCAGGCGGGCAGAACGGAGGAGACAGAAATCAGGCACAGGCAGAACCGGGGCCAAAAAATACAGAAGGGACTCACAGGAAAAGCCTTACCACACCCATAGGTACAAAAAGCCAGAGCCTGTGGCCGGGCCTCGGGCCAAGAAGAAAAATACAATTTATACACCAGTTCTACAGGACACAACAACCTCCTTTCAGAAACATTACCACTAAATGAAAGAGATACTACTCACAGCATAAGAAATTGTCAGCAGCTGATGTGTTTGGAGTCACAGAAATCAAGAAAACTTCAGGTACAAGCTGTCAGATTAAGGCCTGGACAATGGAAGATAAATGCTTGAAGGGATTCCGTAGAAGTGAAGGGTGGAGATGGGAAATAAGTGGGTCAACAACACACTGGGACAAGGGCAGGGACAACACTGTAACTACTAGTCAACTCCACAATGAGGGATTTATCATTCACTGTTCTATAAATTGCTTGTCTGTCAGATATTCCTCTAAATCTGAACATTCAGATTAAGACAGACTGGGAAGAAGGGCTGGACACCCACTTTTGAAATAGCAGGCCTCGGAAAACCCTATGTACAACAGAACAGACTAACAGGACAACGAGGTAGAACTTTCAAGTATGGAAATACAAAGGAAGAGGAACAGTTGTAAACAGACACTAATGATTGGAACATGGAATGTGAGAGCCATGAATGTAGGAAAATTAGATATTGTTAAGAAAGAAATGAAACGCATAAATATTTACATACTAGGGCACTGGAGAGATGAGATGGAACAGCATGGGGCATTTTGAGTCAGACTCCGGAGATGAAAAGGCGAGGAAAAATGGAGTTGTGTTCATAGTTAAAAAAAGTAATTTTTAGATCTGTCTTGAAGTACAACACTGTAAATGACAAGGATAATATCGATATGCTTACAAGGAAGTCCAGTAAATACGAAAATCATTCAGATATATGCACCAACAACCATAGCCAAAGAAGAAGAAATTGATCTCTACCAACTTTTACAGTCAGAGATCGATGTAACATGCAATCAAGATGCTTTGATAATAATGGGTGACCGGAAGGCAAAAGTTGGCAGTCATTGGAAAACATGGACTTGGTGAGAGAAATGAAGCTGGAGACAGAATGACTGAATTTTGCACAATCAGTGACCTATTCATTGCAAATAGATTTCACCTGATGGTATGCATAGGAATCAGATCAATTACTTCTGCGGAAAAAACCACCAGAGAAGCTCAATATCAGCTGTGAAAACAAGGCTAGGAGCTGAATGTGGAACAGACCACCAGCTACTCATATGCAAGTTCTACCTGAAGCTGAGGAAAATTAAACCGATTCCACAGAAACCAAAATGTGACTTTGAGTTCATCCCACCTGAATTTCAGAACCATCCCAGGAACACGTTTGAAGCCTTGAACACAAATGAGCGAAGGCCTAATGTGCTGTGGGAGGATGCCAAATATATCATCCAGTAAGAGTACAAACAGTCATTACAAAGACAGAAGAGAAGAAAAAAAAAAAAAGACCAAAATGGATGTCAGAAGAAACTCTGAAGATTGCACTGGAGCGCAGAGAAGGAAAAGCACAAGGAAGAATTCAAGATACTAAAGAGCTGAACAAAAGATTCCCAAGAGCAGCATGGGATGACAAAGCAAAATACTACAACGAAATGTGCAAAGAGCTGGAGTCGGAAAATCAAAAAGGCCAAACTCGCTCAGAAGTTCTTAAGCTCAAGGAACTGAAGAACAAATTTAGACCTCGAGTTGCTATAATCAAGGATGCTTTAGGCAGAATATTAGATGATCCTGGAAGTATTAAAAGAAAATGGAAAGAATATACTGAGTCACTGTATAGAAAGGAATTGGAAGACACAGAAGAATTTAATGAAATCACATATGAACAAGAGCCAATGGTGATGAAGGAAGAAGTTCAAGATGCTGTGAAGGAAATAGCAAAAAATAAGGCCTCAGGAATAGAGGGTATACCAACTGACATATTTCAGCTAACAAATGCTACCCTGGATGTGCTCACCAAGTTGTGCCAAGAAATCTGGAGAACAACCACTTGATCGACTGGAAGAGATATGTATTTGTTCCCATCCCAAAGAAGGGTGACCCAACAGAGTGTGGAAAGTACAGAACAGTATCATCAATTTCATACGCAAGCAAGATTCTACTGAAGATTATCCAAAAATGACAGGAACAGTAAGTACATCAGCAGAGAACTGCCAGAAGTCCAGGCTGGGTTTAGAAGGGGTCGTGGTACTAGGGATACTGTAGCTGATGTTAGATGGATCTTAGCT